CTTATTCACTTATTCATTTATTCAGTTATTCATTTATTCATTTATTCACTTATTCATTCACTATATTGGTACAATGCACAATATAATAAACCAGTATACGTTCAAAGACTTTACATAAATAAACACAACAGTTAAAGATATGCTTTTGAAGAGAATATTATATTTGAGCAATATTAGACTCACAACAATATGCATGTATAAACACGATGTAAGGTATGCAAAATTCGGATTTCGTTTCCACTTAGAATTTGTGGAAACTTTTAATATGAAAAGTATATAACTTTTGTAAATGTCTATCTATATAGAATAATTGCAAGGAATTAAAAAGAAAGTGAAATTAAATTCATTGTAAATATTGACAAAGTCTTGTACACAATATTACGAAAACGTACTGTAACTAACGCTGAAGATTAAGAGTCATGAAGTGAATATTAAAAATTATTAAAGCGAAAAAATTTGATTGCAAAAGTTATTGTTCTAGCTTAAACCGATGAATATTGCTCGTTCCAGGGAACTAAAAAGATAATCAAAATATTAAAAAATTGATTTTAGTTATTTAAATTAATTGCTTTTAATTATTCCAAATGTGAAAACAACTTTCTTGATGTTAATGGTAAGAAAAATAAACTTGTACAAGACCTGTGATTGGATGATTCAATTATATTCGTTTCTGGTCCCAAGCCAAATCGTTTAATCTTCCGTACTTGTTGACCTTTGTTCTCCTTTATAGTATATTTCATTCACATAGTATGTGAATGAAACAATATTTCTATATTCCATTGTGAACCCTGCGGTGGCTGTACAAGTACTGTGTACAGCGGCAAACTTCTTCTTTACGAATACCTAAAATGAAAGAAAAAATTAAAGGACAATAAGAAAAAAATAGGAAAAAAGAAATTCCTTCGAAGCTATAATTTTCTTGAAGTCAATATTTATTATGCAACAACCTCTTGTGAGACGGAAATGAAATCAATCGATTGCTAGCATGTAGCCTGTAATTTTGACTCATTATAGTTTAATTTCATAGAGAGGCGACACGATGGAAATTCCAGAAGAAGAAGCATGGCTGTAAATAATAAATGAAGGCGAAGTATCTTGGAATGCTTCCACGAAGTTTTCGCTCAGACGCTTATCGACGGCCAACATGGACGTGTTCGAGAAACAATACAACAACTATCGTATCGTATCGTGTATGGTAGGACTTTGGCCTTACCATAAGACGATTTATGTAACGATTAAAAGGATATTCATATGTATCATTTTGTTCGCCAATGTAGTATTCGAGGTAATGAAAATTATAATTTTTTATCATTATATTTCTATTTCATATGCAGTATAATATATATTATATAGAATCTACTTCTATAAATCTTTCTGATATTGATTCTTTAAAAAATTATCATTTATATGTGTATTATATTAATATAAAGTATAATTGTCGATGTATGTACGAATTAGGATGATTTAAATATGTTATAGAAATTTTTAAATTTAAATATGTTATAGAAATATGTTATAGATATTTTGAACAATTTTTTCCTATATATATATAAGATAATACGTATAAGATCTTGTTTATTGATAATTTATGAGATATTCAGAAAAAACTTTTGGCAAATTTTGCCTGTAAATGTGCATCCATAGCAGCGCATGCAATTGATTGCCACTATGGCGTTGTGATGCGATGCAACAACCGAATTTAAACTCTTTTATCTTTTATAGTGTATCATGCAATGACGACGAACATTTTGGTTACGCTTGTGAGTGTGTCATAAATGAACAGGTTTTGCAGATATGTAGTATCTCGGAAACTAAGCTAGATTTTTCAGTGAATTAGCAGTGAATTCCATTGATTCGAAATTCGGATATTTAAATATTCGGACACTAAATATCGTCCGAATACTGTTCTAATTTTGTAGAAATCATACAACAATAAACCTGGATTTATTTCAATATCTTGGAGCCTCTACTTTCGAAATACATACGTTGTTTATTTTATTCTAGAATGTTTTTATGGAATATAACTTTAAGATGATAAAATGAAGATATTTTTCTCCTGGAAAATGTTATAAATTGTCGTAGCATATAAAAACATTGAACAATTTTTTTTAGCTGAATCTGCAAAGGATTTGAAGAATGAAGTCTTCCTTTTACAACCACCAAAACTTTGATGTACGTTTTCTTTTCCTTATTTTATTAAACTTTGAATATTGGGCTTAGATGACGAAAATTCAAGAAATTGCAATATTTTCGTCGTTATATTCATTTTCACTTGACATTCAAAATTCAATAAATTAGTGGAAAAAAATTATGAAATTTTTCAATATTTTTGCATATGACATTTTCGAAAAGAAAAATCAAGTTTAAAAAATCATTTGCTATATTTTGAAAGTAGAAAGTTTAAAATCAACACAGGTTTATTTGTCGTATAAAATGAAGCTGTTCATAAAATTATGTAACAAAATTTTAATATTTAGTATCTGAATATTTGTTGAATAAATGTTATGAATATTAGTGATTGTATATATCAGTATATACAAGAAAAAATTATTCAAAATATAAATTTTTATAACATATTTAAAAATCATCCAAATTCGTGTGGTGGACACGTATCAACAAATTAATCATAACATATTTCAAGTTTAGATAAACTTAGTTATACCATGATTTTAAAAATACCTTGTATATCAAAATATTAACCTTTCGCATTCTGCTCGAGAAGATACTCAAGTTAGAAATTTTAGTTCAAGAAAATTGAATTTTTCATGTTACCGGATCGCGTTAAAATTTTATTTTATTTCCTTTTTACAAAATTATGTCTCCTGTTTTATAAATGTATTTTAGCAACTTGTAATTTCTTGATTCTTACAAGTGTAGATATTTCGTACTCGAAAGTTTTTTCTCGAATAATCCATTTTTCCCCTTTCATACCATTATGTTCATTCGCACCTCACACACTTTTTCTCAAGTAAACATGATCATGTATTTCCGAAAATTATTCTATTGTATTTTAGCCTGTCCACACTTACTTAACACTCTTTATTTACATCTCAATCTTCTAATCGTCACAGAATATAAATTATGAAACATAATCTTTACAGGATCCAAATTATAAATCATAAAACACTCATCGGTTACACCTTATTAATATCAATCATTCAAAGCTGCATTAAACACTACAGGCACTCTCATTCCATTCTTATAATATCATGAAGATTAAATATATAAGGTAAAGGATAAGGCAACGAATACAAATTAATAACTAATAAAGCCGATAATTACTCAACAATAAAAACTTCTTTTCACAACTCAATCAACTCTGTCTCCAACTCCGTCAACTTTGTTCCACCATTCGATCAACTTCGTTTTCTTTTTTCAAAAAGAACAACGCTTCACGCTAACGTGGTGCTTCTCCCACCATATTCATACTTTCCCTCGTTTCACTCGGCAAACGCTACAGGCCATCTGATATAATTAAACGCACTACAACTAAAAATTATGATTTAAACCTACGATGCCACAATATATTTCTTAACTTCATTAGTTTTAATATGGAGAAATTTATTACAAACTTATTTTGTTTAATATTATTAGAGTTGCTGCTCGTTAGTATCAAAAAATGTTCGGAATATAAAGGATTAAAATACATAATATAACGTTCATTTATTTCTAGAATTTGATGTAGTATCATTGACTAAGAATAGAATAGGATGACTGGACATCTTATGCTTTTCCGTATCCCAGGTTTTGAGGGTCACCTGATCCTCTTACCATTTTCGTGTCATATCGATTTAGGCAAGTATTGCATTATAGTGTTGGACAGTGTTTCCGCATCGAAAATTATTTATCGAATTGAATCCGGTGACTATTTATTACGAGCAAACATACATATGTATGTATATATAATAATCATAATAAATAAATGAATTTAGTAGGCATAGCTGTTTAAAAAATTCTATCATCGTATAGTACGATTTTTCACAAAAGTGCACTGCTTTTTAATGGATCTCTACGATTTTTTTTCCTACAATTGAATTTTTTCTACATGTTATTCTGAATGAAAAAAAAGAGCATAATGTTAAAAAAAAATTAATATTTCTTAATGCTTCAAATTTTATACAGGATGCGGCTTTTAAATGAAAATATATTTGCTGCATTTTTGTTTTTATAAAGAAAATGTTCGAGAGAAAGTTGCACTATTTTAAGGCGCACATTCATTGAAAGTGAAAGGAATTATTTTCAAGATCATTTCAAAATGAAAGTAACGTACTCGTATCTTGTTGATCTTCTTATGGAGATTATTATTATATAAAAATAAAAATTTAATTATCTGAATAATCATTTCCAATTATTTAATATATATTATATATTTTGTTTTGTTCGGTGTCCTGCAGGAACGGTAATATCTATCGTTCGGTCAATGTCCCAATTTAACTGACCTGCACTAGGCCAGTCAAACGTACCTCGCTTTAAAATGATTGGCTGGTGGCCACTTGCAAAATGACATAAAACAGGCTCGTTCCGGTCGGCACCTTGCTATAGTTAATTCTTTTCTAAATCGCCACATTCAGGTTATAGATCCTTGCTATACCGCCACATTCGGATATTCAATCATCCTTGCTATACCGCCACATTCAGGTTATAGTTCTTTGCTATATCACCACATTCGGGTTATAGCTCTCTGCTATACCGTCCCATTCGGGTTATAGTTCTTGTTATACTTCCACATCTGGGCTATAGTTAATTATTTTCTTCATCGCCGCAATTCATCGCAGTGCTTATCACTGCGATTCGGCTATAGTTAATTCTTCTCTACAACGCCATAATTCATCGCAGTGCGTATCACTGCGATTCGAATATAGTTAGTTCTTTGCTATATCGACACATTCGGTCTATAATTCTTTGCTATACCGCCACAATTCGTCGTCAGAGCGTATCACTGCGACTCGAGATATAATCAGACTTCCGTTATATCGCCAACACATACATTGCATTAAATATTCGATCTTATATCGAAATCGCTCATCTCATAAAGGTTCTTACCTTTTTTAATGTACTTCTCACACAGTTGCTATCCTCTCCGAATACAAGCGTACGAACGGCGGCCATATCGTTTGACGCATCGCGCTGTAACAGGCGGATAGCAACCGAGTGTGAAGTAAGAAACGACGAAAAAATAAGAACCTTTGTGGATGGCGATATAGGATTGAGGAAATCGCGAACAGTGAACTGTATAATTGAAATGTACGTTGACAACATAGCGGAAGACCGGAAGACTATAGGCCCGAGTCGCAGTGATACGCATTGACGACGAATTGATTATATTACGCACTAACTGCGGAGTGACGAATATCGTAATGACGAATATTGTTGTATCACTGACGAATGTTGCATCACTGATGGATTTTGCGTCACTGTCTTTCCCGCCGACGGCAGGCCTGTGTTTTATGGGCTAATTACTTTAAACTATGAGCCGGCTCTGACGTAGCTCCTCTAAAGACAGTGAAATTAATAAGCATCAATACAGTGATCGATCAACCGTCTTTAGAGGACACCAAACACAAGCACTCGGGTTAGCAATCGGGAAAGACAACAATAAACTATTGTGTCACGATAGCCGCGATAGAGCATGGTAGACGTTAGGACTTCTTGCCAGCATAAAAAAACAGGCAAGCCGTTGTCTTTATCAAAAATAGAATAATAAATTATTTTATGTGGACAAGAAACCTAACGTCCTTTTTACGCATAATTCTATATTTGATATATTAGAATTATGGCAAATCGCCCGAACACTTAACATATAAAAGACAACGAAAGACAGAAAGTGGTTCAAAAAAATTAAATAAGAGTTACATGGTGACAATGATCCCGATCGGTTGCTATTGACCGGAGATGAATGTTTATACGTATATATAGATATATTTGTACTTCTTGAGACAATTTGTTGCATTTGTGTATGTTTTTGTTTACTCTAATCGTTCGAATTAGGCTCGATGCAGTCACGAAGGACGGCATCTAGCGACAGTGTTTTGGAAAACACAAACTTCTTTTGTTTCATAAAAAGGATAAGCAAATATTATATCTCTGTTCTTTCAAAAGAATCGCTGTTGCGATGGCTTGCCGTAAATCGGTTGTCTGCATCGGGTCTAGCTCTAGCTGCTAATTGCTTGTTCTTACTTTATATAATATATAATACAATAGATTTCATAAAATTGAAGGATCTATCTTCTAAACAGAGAATTCTCGAAGCCAAGATTTTATATCTTTGGAGTTTCATATCTCATGCCCTTCAAATTTTATTTCGATCGTTGGCCATTTAAGACCAAATAAATATACGATAGTAAATCACTAGTTGCCAATCAAAATAAGTAATGTAATTATTTAAAAATCATTTCTAAAAACAATGAAGTAAATAATTATATACGTGAAATGTATATTGATATTAAAACATGGATAGTTCTCTTTGTGATATATATATCACGAAGTATTTCTATCTCGTCTGTGCTGAAAATATACAATTGACAACACTGTAACAGATATCATTTTCTCGAACCAACTTGTATCATTTTGTTTGACGTTCTAATTCACTGTTGTTTAAGCGTAGAGAACGTTAAAAAACCAGTGATTTTTTTTTCTGGTCGGTATTTCAGACCCTGAGACACAAAAGCCTATTTGATGTCCGATCTATCCTGTTAGTCAATGGTATTATTAATGATAGTTTAAAGTAATCTACATTAAGACGCAAAACAATATCGATATACTTTATTCTTTCTTTGACTTTTAATCGCAACATACTACTTGATTTTTGATTTTTGAATGCTATTTGGTGAATACATAATGAACATATGTTTTCAGATAGTGTCACTTTCAAATTCTGAAATTACGTTACGAAGCTGCATTGTAACACTGTCTACGACCATTCCTTTCCTAATATTTTTCTTACGATATGTCAATTGTGTAATATTATCTTCAAATGTAAGTGACGATTGATCTATTTCACTGTTAATTAATAAATGTATTTAACTGAATCAATGATAATTATTGTTCATGTGAATATAGCTCCAATTTTTTATTGACCAAATGCGTATGGAAGAAAACCTATTACAAGATTTGGTTGAAGAACAAATATTAACAAAATATATTAATGATGCAAGTCATATAATCGATGTTTTTCTATGTAAGTAACTATTTTTGTATTGTTATTATGAAAGAACAATTTGACTGTAAAATCAGTCTAAAATTGTGTGATATGAGAACTCAGCTTATCTATGTTACAAAACTCTCATTATAACAATGTATTAGTCGATTTGTCTATATGTTGACATTGAAATTAATTAACTACCTCTAATGGATGTACAGTACTAAAATACGTTGCAGAAAATTTCTGAAGTAGTTATAAGTAATTAATTAAGTAGTTAATTATAAATAATTGCAAAATATTAAGTGCGTAATCATGTTCATAAATAATATTCTACAGTGCACATAATGGAGTTCAAGGCTTGTGCTCAGTTGTATATCAATAAATATTTAATCTCGGAATTATTTAATAGTGTCATATTATTATTTTATATGAAATCTTAATAATTCCTATTGTGTTATATTTGGTACTTTAATCAATTAAATATTGTTCTAGACCAGACAGAAAAAGTAAGTTTAAGAAATAATAAGTCTTGTATTAGAATATCATTTTTTTGAAGTAATTCAAGATGTCCTGTAATTGGTGGTACAACCAATAGTAGGAGGAGATAATAAAGAATAATAAAAAATTAAATTTTTTCATTAAAACTTTCGTTTCTGAGAAAATCCAATTTGAATATTTATCAATTTTTATTATTATTTATTTATAGTGAAATTTGTTGAGAATTTTGTATTGGAAAGACACTTGAAATCTATGTGCAAATATAAGTGAAAAATGTAAAATAAAATTTTTTCATTTACAATGAAATAGATTTTGAATATGTTTCGTTAGAAAATGCCATAATAAATTGTCATTGAGAAATTTTCAAACTTAGTCTTCTCGAAAATGAAATATTTTACAAAAAAAATTTATTCTATACTTTTTACATTTTATATTTTATATTTCGCATATAAAATAAACCCTTGCTAATTATTCTTTTTTGTCCAAAATTAACTAAATTGAAGAAATTTGATAAATTTTAAAACTCGATTTTTTCAAAGTTTCAATGAAAAAATTTTATTCTTTGTTTTCAACTTATTTTTTTTTTTTACATAAAATCACTTCCTGAATTTCCCGTTTTACCACCAGTTGCGTAACACCTTAGATACAATTCTTTTAATTTGTATAATTTTCATTTCTATTTTATCATTTTACTGTGAGAGAATCGAATCATTTTTACTGTCATTAGATTGAAAAAGTAAAATATACTTTCAACAAATTTTAATAAAAAGTGTTAAAATTATGAGTTCTTTATAAGATGAGCTTCATATTAGGCGACATTTTTGCAGTTGTGAACTTAAATATTTGAATGTAAAATCAGAGAGTTAAATTTATACAAATACTTCTGTCTACACTTTATTTCGATTATTATCAATTTGATGAATATTTGTAACAAAAATATCACTAAAAATTACAAAACATTTATACAAAAAATTTTTATTCTTGAAAGAAAGAAAAAATTGCATAAAACAATTAAGAACACGTAGAATTGATTTTCAATATTGTTTATATGTTTATAGTAAAGTTGAAATATGTGAATGAAAATTAATCATAACATTACTAGTTGAAAAGTCCACGGAACGTCTACTAAAATATTATTAACTGAAAGGTCCACGGGAATATAAAGGAATATCAATTTTTTCGTACATTACCACGTATGTTCTTTATTGCTGACTATCTCATATTGCGAATTAAAATTTTCTAAGTTTTATATTTATTTTGTTATATAAAAAAAAAAATATGAAGTTGTGACACCAGATATTGAAAAATAAATTTTCTTTTTCTGAGTAATGCTAAACTTTGATATTTGACTTTTTCTATGGATTCTTCAAATATTAAGTTATTACATATGTACATATTAAGTTAACAGTTTATAAAATTAGTATATATGATATCTTATTGTTTTCTGATACATATTAATGATGTTTGTGCTAAAGTATGAACATAAAGTAAAAAAGAAGGTAACTGATAAGGAGAATGTTATATTTTTGGATGTTTAAAAGTGTTTTTGATTTCGTATTGTGAAAAAAAAAAAATTGAAAAGAATAAGCAGTCATGATTAAAAAATGTATTTTGATCATACACGGTGTTCAGTGTTAGCTACAATTTTTCAGGTACTTCCGATAGTCTGATGATAAAATTTTACACGAAAAATGATCGGTGTTAAAACATTAATAAATATCAAATATTTGTTTACTAAAAAATCATTACTACTTTTTTTTCCGAAAAAATCAAGATCATCATTTTTTTAAATAGCACTGTGTTACGTCCCGGCTCACCGGACGACGATAAAATAATAATTATTATTTATCCGAGACGCTGTTATTTAAGATGCGTATCAAGATGTTGTCACGGTGGGAGTTCGGTTGAGTTCAAAAAAACAAATGCGCGACGTGGGTAAGACAGAATAAAGACGAAAGTTGAGGATTTTACAAACTGATTGTCTCCTTTATTTTTTCGGGCTGTATTTATGTGAGTAGTTATTGTCACATTCTTGGAAATAGTGGGATAGCTGATCATAGGGTATATGACGCATGGGACATATAACGCATGGGGCATATGACGCATGAGGCATATGACGCATGGGGCATATGACGCATGGGGCATATGACTCATGGGGCATATGATTCATGGGGCATATGATTCATGGGGCATATGACGCATGGGGCATATGACGCATGGGGCATAGAACGCATATGACAATGCAACCTTTTAATCCAACCGACACATACGTCCGATTCTGTCCGGGATCCGCTGTATAATCGTAGACTGGGGACGCTTCAGGGCAGGAACGGTGTCTGGTTTCTCTGACGTTTCGTTTTTTTAACGTAATATTGTAGACAATATTGAGACGAAATTAGTAATATTTATTCAATAATTTCAATATTGATTCAATAATTTGTTGAAAATTATTTTTAATGTAATAAAAATCTTTAACATTGACATTACGCTTATTTAATTTAATTTAAAAGTTATAAAAAGATAATAATTTCGCTTTTTTTAAATTCTGATATTTATTAACATTCAAACGCTGATAATTTTTCATTTGAACCATTTTTTTCATTCGACTATCATGGCATAACGTTGAACAAACGTTTTGTGTAAAGGAGACAACACAACAATGTGCGTTCAACATCGTGTAAATGTTTTACATTTAGCTTAGTGTGAATGAATGTGTGTGTCTACTTTAATAGCGAATATTATTTATTATTTAATTTATTATTGGATCTTCAAGTTTACTAAAAACATGTAATGTATGCATGTATAATTGTAAGTGATTTTCATTCAGTAATCAGAAGTTGTATTGCACAACTACTAGAAGTATGAAAACGTAATTTATTAATTAATTGATCTTCTCCTATTTTAGGGGCATGTTCCACGGGAATTGTAACTTTTACAACATATTTAATGAGTCCGATAATATTAGACATAATTATACCTCTGAACGAATCTCGAACTCGTTTAATTAAGTATCTCACGAATTTCTCTCACGATCAAACGATATACCTTGATATGGTTTCTTTGAACTTTGTGGTTGCTGTTGCGGTTGGATTGTTGTGTATTGCCTGTACAGAATCGTTTCTCAATATTTTTGCTCACTACTTATCCGGATTATTCAAAATTACTGGGTGTGAGTAAGATTATCATGTTATTTGAAGTGATCAAAAATTATGCATCAGAATTAGCGCAATAGAATTCTACTTATAGAGATTATAAATAAGATAACAGCTATTATCAACTTATACCGGTCGTGATGCATAATTTTTGATCATCTTATGTAAATAAATAAGGCAATGGCTGCATTGAATGCGATTTATTCGTATGCGTTCTGAATTGATTGTTCGATATGTATGATTGCACAGATCGCGTATTCTCATAACTATTTTATATTCTTGTGACATATGCCTTGTATAGATTTAACTAATTATTACTATTTCTTAAACCATCCTTTTTTTAAGAATTTTACTGACAATTTAGAGAGAAAATCAAATTTTTGTTTCAAATAAGGAGAGTGAAGAAAATTGTATTCATATATCTGTTTCAACGAAATAAGTTTCGAGACTATTTTCCAACGAATTCTGAAATACTTTTTATATCTAATTTAAAGACTTGAAAGACTTAAGCAATGAAATCTTCAAAATACAAATTGGAGATAGCCCCTGTTCTCTTCAGGGCTCTAATATTCTTCAATTCTAGAAGTTGTGATTTTAATCAGAACAAATTGCATGAGAATTCTTGACAATGTATAATGTCTTTTATTTATTTTAAAGAAATTGAATCTTTCGTATATGGATTCGAATATAATCTTATTCGTATATGGATTCGAATTCCTGTCTTGTGTCATACAATATAATTGAAACAATGTATAAAGCATAATCAAATAGTCTAATTATTTGATTTGTTCATACATATTCTCAAATTTACATCATACAGTACAGTGTTGTTTCTCTTTAAAATTATTCAATTCTTTTACATTTTCAATACTATGAAGTATACATCACGGACCGATTAAGTAGAACTGATTTAAAACATAAATCAATTTTTTTCGCAGATCATTTTTATTCATAACTTTTACATGTTTTTAGGTATCGATTACGAAAAGCAATTACGAATCTATCTAAACCAAGTTCAGTATCGCAGCAAGTTGAACTGAATCTTTTGGATTTTCACCAAGCCATTGATATTCACAACAAAGCGATCGTGTTGGTAAATTTGAATATAAAAATAACTCTATCATAGCCATTTATCTTAACGGTATTTTATTTTACATTTTAAATCATTTATGTGCAATTGTTTCACTCATGTGAAGATTAAACAATATCTTCGTGAGTAAGATGACGATACATTATCTAATAGTGACTCTGATATCTGTGATTTCATTTGCTGTGAGTATATATCGAGTAAGTATTATTTTATTGATACAAATCATTTCAAAACTTGACACTTTGCATCATTCTGAATTCTCTTTTAATCCTTCAATGGCAGCGACATTTCATCTACTGATAAAAATATTTTTTATTGTTTTAAGAAAGATACCTACGTCACATTGTTAAATTGGCCCTTGATCGTGATATTTTTTTTTATAGGTGATTTTAGTGAATTTTAGCAACTAACTTTTTTTTTATCGATATATGTAATATAAATACTTTTATAACTCGTTTATGTTTTTATTTTTACAACTCATTCTAGTTATTTTTTTTTTTTTACTTTGACTATTAATAGGGTTTTTCACATAAAAAAACTATATGAAACTTTACTTTGACTATTAATAGGTTTTTCACATAAAAAAACTATATGAAACGAACCGTCCATATTAATCATGAGATGGATACAATTATATTAAAATTAATAGCATTTAAATGTTACAGCGACTAAAATTATAAGATTATAACGTCATATGTATGAAACTGCTATATACGTGATATGTTACTAAAGAATTAATCAGAATTTAAAAATTCTCTTTATTCAGTTTTCTAAATCAGTAACGCCTATAAATGATGGATTGGAAATTCTCACTAGTGTTGCGATTGTTATTCTTCATTTGATCATCATGCTCCTAGATAACTATAGCGGACAACTAATAATAAATAATAGTGAAAACATATTTTACGAATCGTAAGTTCAAACATGTCATTTATCCAATTAGTGTTTTAGTTTAATTGTAAGCTCTTTTATTTATTAAGCAAGTAATTACACTGAATTGCATAACTGGACCATTAATTGCAAGTTTTGCATAATTCTTTTTACTCCAAATGTACACAAAGAATGAATGTAACAGAAACATTTTAATTAATTAAAACTGAACAAATATGAATAATTTTTTAATATCGCGAAAGTTTTTTAAGGTGCCTAAAGTAACAAGAAATATTCATCGATTCAGTTCTGCACAATATATATTTTTCTCAATCAAAGTTTCGTCAGTTTTACTAAAGTTTATTTTTTAATCTTCTAGCTTTTACGATGGTTTTCGTAATACTTCACACACGATATTGATAATATTCAAAATTATTCTTGAATTTTTATCAGCGATTCGATATACAGTCATTTGTAGAAGTCAAATAAAATCGAAATTTGGATTTTGTACATCAGCAAGATCTCAGCTAATTTGATTCATATTTTGTTGAGTTTGAAATTCTTTGAAGTCCTAATATAATTTAATTAATTGTTCCGTAATATATCATTATACATAAAATATCTTCATACATCATTAGCTGATACATAAAATCGATAGTTTCAATTAAAGATTTCAGTTAAATTATGTTGAGATTAAATGATCTGAACAGTAAAGTTACTAAAATCATTGAGTTAACTTATTTTTGTTTTAAAAGAGTATTAGAAAGAAGATGTAAGATCTTATTTTAAAAAATGTGAAAATGATTTATATCTTGAAAAATATGACTAAAAATATAAATATAAAGAACTACGTGGATCAATCAATTTATTCTTTAAGCATTATTTTTTATCATTAATTTCAACCGAGATATTCATATTTAAAACAAATCGTACAGTAACGAATGACTATGAATATCGTCTTGTAATACGAACGTATTTAAATTAACATGGAACAGCCTACACATCTATTTCAATATAGTTCTGTTTAGAAAAACAAAAATCATCTTGCAATCTTGGAATACTTCATCTAGACTTCCATCTCTTCATACATCGATCTCTCCACTGTATTGAAATTTCCTTGCCGTGCATGAGCCCCACTCTCTCAGTCTGTTGATTTTCCTGTCAAACAGGTGGATTGATCGATGCAAAAGAAGGAATAATGCTAGCGATTAAAAAAGTAGGGGCAAGAACTCGTACATCTTTGATCTAGACAAATCTAGTAGTTGTTATAAAATATCGAGCGAAACAGAACAAATTTTAGTTGAAATATTTTTTCGATTAATAAATATTTTAGAAGATAGTTTAGAAGTTATTTGAGAAGATAGTGGTACAGATGGGTTAAAACATAACATCTTGTATATGACAAATATATGATAGTATTTGATATTTCTATGTCCGAAATTTAAATTTTTCAGTAATTTGCAACTTGAATTACCTAATAAATACAAAGAAAAGTAGGAAATATTTATTTTTAATTATTTCTTATATTTGTTTTAAAAAATTAAAATTAAAATTAATTAAATAAACATAAACATTAATTAAATAAATAAACATATATTATACATATAAATTATTGAAGAAAAAAATTATTTTTCAATGTTTTTTAGTACAAACTGCACTGCATTACATTTTTAATAATTCAAAAGATACACAAAAATATCACTAAAATCGTCATTATCATAATCATCATCATCATAATCATCACTATTATAACCATCATCATCGTCATCATTATCATCATAATCGTCATTATTATTATTAAGCATAATAATAATTTTATTCTTACCACACGTAACGAAACTGAACCCAATTGTTATGGTATTTTTTGTTATGGATAAAAACTTTGCAACTTCGAAAAATTTGAAATTGACATTTATTGTGCATGTTTTGTAATTTACTTTAATATTAACGCTAATAACAAATGATTTAGGTACATAAAATATACAATTATTGTTTTATTATGCTCTATTATGGTTTTATTATGCTCTTCACTGTATATTATTGAAATATATCAAATAATACAGTACATATACATATATATATAATGTGCAGATACGACACTACATGGTACTATATTCCATTGAAAGCGCAAAAACTATTACTCTTCGTTATGTTGAGAAGTTTGAAGGAATGTGAATTTAATCTTTCCGGTTTATTCGTTCCGTGTTACGAAGGTTTATCGGCGGTAATATATATTTCTGGTACTTTATTATATTATTTAACATCGTTTAATTTCACTTTACTAAAACCTTTTATATTTTAGATGATGAGTGCATCTTTCTCATATTTTACTCTAATACGTTCGTTTTAATAAAATAAACGGACTTTATGTTAATTGTTGTTTGTAATGAAACTTATTACCATTTTTGTTTGATGTGTTAAATTAATTCATCCAATGTGTATCTGTTTTTTATATAATTATTGTTGATTCACTTTGCTTCTAAAGTGATCGACAATTAGAATTCTCTCCCATAATATTCTGGAAATTACTATTATTTTATATATTATGAAATCATCAGCAGAAATTTATACAACTTCTCTATAATATTCTTATAATACATTTTCTAAATCAACACATACATATACAGAGTGTTTCGTTTATCTCACGGAATGGAAATATATATTTTTTTCCACATCATGTATGTTAAAACAAATCGGACGACTTGTATATTAGGCCATTTGCATTGTATGACTCAAAAATTATGTTTGATTACTACGGAATCAAGTAAGGCTGAATCACTGGTTAATAACTATTAAGGCCAGCATCCAGCGATCTATGCATCGACTCCTAAATTTCATGATGCGTGTGCAATGTAAGTTGCAATCGGCATCAGAAACAATTATCACCAATACAGGAATGAGACTCCCAGCATTGAAGAAAGAAGAAAGAATCCGTTTCGGATTTCGCTGTCTTTACGATTGTCGTAACGCACAATGGACCGGATCGAGAATTTTTACAACACTTTTAAATAACTCTTGACTCGTAAAAGATATCGCAATTTGTCAAATTTGTCAAAAATATTTATGAAAAATATTCAACAATGTACAATATGATATATTTCATGTTTGTTTAATTGCTGTTTCATTAATTTTATAAATAAATAAATTTATTAAACAAATTAGTCCATCCTAGACAACTTGGAGAAAAAATCGAATTCGATTGGCTGCAGCCAATTACAAATTTTCCGAAAGGACTGCAAAAAAACAATGTCGCCCTCTCGTCGTCGAATGATCTCGATGCAAGAATTAGAATCACGGTTCAGTTGGTAAGCAAGAACCCGAGTGAAATTCATTCAGGATAAACAAACGGTTTAATAAAACGGAGATAGATAAAGCATTTTGGGAGGAATTTATAAATCCACTATGTGCAGGTTTGATGGTATTATTATGTTTGCCATCTATTACTCCACAGCATGTATCAAAATTTCATCGTTGTTTAAATTCTGCAGCAATTACTCTCCATTCTTCTTCATTTCTAAAAAACTAAAAAAATAATTCAATACCCAAAATAAGGAAAAATGAACTGGATACTATTTCTAAATGTGTATTAAATTTTTTATTTTAGAAAACACAAGATATTACGGAAAATACAGAAAATACAGAATCAGTTTTAGATAGTAATGTACAAAAAAGGAAAGAAAAGAAAAAATATTGAAATCTGATAATTTTTATAATCACAAGGTTCATTTGTCTTTAGCTCTTTTGATAACGCAAAATTGGAAAAACCATTTCTAGGAATTAACCATCTTTTTGGCCATTTCTTTTTAGTATTTAATTTTTTATTTTTTAATAAAAAAGTTATAATAAACCTCCTATTACTTACTTCCTATTACAACAGTAATAGGAAGTAATATTACTGCAGGAAGACGATCCGACATTTTAACCCTTTCGCGGCGGAGCGCTCAGCAATGAATTGCGCTATAGGCAGCCGGCGTGACAGTGGAAAGTCGACCTAAAGGCGCTGTTCGCTCAGAGGGAGCGTCTATAGCTGAGCCTCTAAAGGCGCTGTTCGCCGCGAAAGGGTTAAACACGTGTTTTAATGTTAGCGTCACACGAAAAATTGAAGAATCGATACTGTGGAGACAAGCTGACTCTGATGCAGGTTTTCATGAAAGGAGTTGATGCGTGTGCATCGTCGTAAGTTTCAACGTCTGGAGGCCTTTAGGTTGCACGATGTAAACAGAAATCGAACTTCTTATCTACGCATCCCTTCTTCAATTACAAACGATTTTAAAAAATTGTGAGAACTTGCGTATTTTATCGATCATTTGCAACACTTAAAACTTGTGCAACGATTTCTCTTATTGTTAATTCAGTTGCTTTGTTTTATTTCGTTTTTTGATTCGATTTTGTTTTTCATTGTTTTCATTTATTGTTATTTACTAATGAAAACTTTACATTACAGAAAAATCTGTAACTGTTCAAGATAAAGTTACATGGAGATAGGTATTTGTCTTACGAGAGGAAGTGTTTAACGAATTTCGCAGGTAACATCTTTGTAAATAAAAACTAGTTGTATCAATGATACAGGAAATTGTTGAATTATTCAAATGAACTGGAATATTATATATAACAAAGACACAGATCTTCTTCGTGGATAAAAGATAATACATCAAATGTAATAGCTACGTATTCAAGAACATATGTGCTAATAATTTCGGTCTTTGAATAGAATTGTTCGTAAAATAAAATCGTGAAGAAAATTCCAGATCACTCGAAATTACACGTGTGCATAAAATTTTGCCTCGTGATATCGGACTACGAATTGAATTTTGTTTGTGAATTTTAAATCGATGATGCGAAGTTTGTTCTCGCAATTTCATGATGATGACAAATGAGAGTATTTTTCGAGAGTAACAGAAATCATCGTTTATCACTTTTTTCATCATAGAATGTTGGCAACGAGCAATCCACAATGGACACAGAAAAGTATCATCTATTACCAATGGTCTGATACGATAAAACTAGCATAATAGAAAAATAATAAGATATTCTTTTTTAAAATACGAGATAAGTATTTAATAGTAATAAATATTTAATAATAATAATTTTAGAAATATATCCAAAAGACATTCTAAAGACGCTGTGGCGTTAAAAATGAAACGGAACATATGGTTTTACAATGGCGTACACATTATCCGATATCAATAAAGAATTGATTAACTGAAAATTTTAGGCATAATTGGATGTGGTAGACTAACTGAATAACTCCCAATCACCAGTTCTATCTCAATGCAACTTTTTTTTGTGGAATTATCTGAAAGATATTTTAGTACAGAATTTTAGTACAGAATTATAACTGCTTACAAGAAAGTAATTCAAGAAATTTTACGAGAACCTTATTTTGAAAGAATTGAGAAATTTATCTTGAACGATAGCGAGTATATCAGAAGATGATTTTCTTCAAGAAATTGATAAGTAGAAATAAATAAATCAATTGTTAATATAAGAAACAAAAATAGATAAAAAGTTTGATCTTATTTGATCTTAAGTTTACATTATGCAGCCCAATAGCCGTCAATCAACGATTGATGTTTATTTGATTCTGTAATAACCAAATACTTTACGACATAATTTCTCAGTCATCTCAAAAATTTCATAACGTAAATGTCATGCAAATATGCAGATTATTGAATCTGTTTCAAAACTCGCTATCACATTATCGTTTAAATAATTATCACATTATCTAGTTTAAAAAATTAACTTAACCTGAAATTTCCTCTACTATCCACAAAAATACTATTAATACATAATGTGCAATTTTTATAACAAGCGATTTTTGTAGGAATATTTTTTTTATAACTTCAATCCTTCACGAGATATAACCATTTTGTGAAATAAGCGAAATACCCTATACACTTATTAAATTTTAAATATTTGAAGAAATATAAGAGAGATCGGAATATTTTCGTTATTTCGTTTTTGTTTTTTTTTCTGGTATATTACTGCACTGAATGCTGAGTATGTTCTAATTCGACGATTAATTTCGACACGTTAGAAAGAATAACACGTTGAATTCTTGATGATTAAGAATATATTTGAAATTTGCCGAAATCATAAACTCAGAATACGTGGATTAATGTGGATGAATATGTTAATTGTTAGATGCGATAAAATGTAATGTGAAAAAATGCCGAGGGTTTAGGATTTTGAGTCCTTCGTTTTATTACATCGTCAATAGTGGTATCATTAGAGGGCAAAATTTTCGTGTATTACAAGAGCTGCTAGCGTGGCTTTCTTTGACAATAAATTAGATACAAGATGCAATAAAAAGTTTCAATGAAATTACGATTTGATTAACTGTGATTTTGAAGTACAATATGTAAGAATTTGACATAATAGCCAATGAATAGAAGTTAAAATGAATGTAAAATAAAAGTAAAACAAATGTTTTTCATGAGCAATTTTGGCATTATATAAGCATAGAAAGAATATCATAGGTGCATTGCTCAATTTCAATATCAATGACGGAGAAACCCAACTTTATATAGATGCATCAAAAATAAAAATAAACATCATTTTTAAATTAATAATATCATCGAATATGATGTATGATACAAGGTATATATTTTTAAGAGAATGCCATTCTTACATTAAAAATTATCAAAGGCAACGAATATACAGAAGCTGTTACATGAAAGGATTATAGAACATGTCAAAAAAGATATTGTAAAGATATTGTATAGTAAGAAA